CACCATGCATATACTAACATCAAAGTGCAGCGATAGGGGATGCCGAAGAGGGTCTCACACTCCAGGGAAAGCCTTGGGCATGTCTGACCTGTTCATGGGGTCAGGGAAGTCCTGAGTCAAGACAGAGCAGATAGGGCCCGGCATGGTAGCCTAGCGGTTCAAGTCCTCACCTTGCATACACCAGGATCCTATAATGGCACCGGTTCATATCTCGGCTGCTTCACTTCCATCTCCCTGCTCGAAGCCTGGGAAAGCAGACAAGGATGGCCCAAAACCTTGGGACCCTGTACCCACGTAGAGACCTGGAAGAAACTTTTGATCAGCTTAGCTCTGAGATTTGTGGCCCTATAGGGAGTGAACTAGTGGGTGGAAGATCTTTCTCCATGTCTCTCCTTCTGTCTGTAAATCTGCCTTTGCAATAATAAATAAATCTTAAAAAAAAATCAACCAGATAGATAGCAGAGGAAAATGGAGAGTGCACTGGGCAGAGAACAGAGCAGGTGCGAAGGATCTGTGGCAGCAGGGAACAGGTGCGGTAAGCGTAGAAGGGAAAAGGCTGCAGAGCTGAGAAGGGGCGCACAGAGCCTTGGAGGCCACCCCGTTTCTACCTGGGGATCTTGGGAGATCAGCAGTCACAACAATCCCAGCACAGGTGCAGGCACCATGAAAGGGTCTGAACATATTGCAAGGTTGTAAATTACATGTAGCTGAAAGAAACCAGGGCAGTGGAACGTCAGCTAGCCAATGGCAGAGCTGCCACCAGCCGCTGGTACATGGATCTCCAGATCACTAAAACTGGGTTTGCCCAGCACCATGGCTGCTCCGGGTCCCCAGTTCTTGGCAGGGCGCACCTTAGGAGATGTGGCTGAAAAATTAAGGCAGCGTAGGGAGCATTGTTCTGACCTGCCCTAAGAGCTGCCCACCTTCTGGTATTTTCTTTCTAACCTGAAGAGAGCCAAGGGCAGAAACGGAAGTGTAAATTCTGCAGACTCCATTAAAGTATTCTACATTCTCAGGTGAAAACATGTTAGCTGTTCCCACTAGGATTTCATCTCACATCACAACAGTCCCTAGAAAAAAACCGCTCGTGGCCTCTGGTTTGCTCCCTTCCCACAGTTCTCTCCATGGGTGGGGAGGGGAGACTTGTGACAACTGTCAGATTCACTGCTGGAGTCCACGGGAGTGGGAGCTCAGAATCAAAGACAAGACCTTTAGACTCCTGTAGTCGGGATCCCAGTGTGACGCCCCTCTGATCACCCTGGGATTCCACATGACAGGATCACATGGGAGCTGACAGCATGGGACAAGGTGCTGGGAGGTGCTGAGAAGCACTCAGAGGCCTGCAGAGCCACTGGGGGTGGGAGTGGAATGGAAGGTGCAATGTGATGTGATTGCTGGAGGTGTGGTCCAGCTGCCTGCTGGGTGGCCTGCAGCTAGGCAAGAGTCCCTGTTCCTGCCAGGCTCCTATCTCAGAAGTGAGGTCTCCATTTCTTCCTGAGGGTCAGCAGGCCTTAGATGCCTGAAGGCATGTCATCTTGTCAGCATGTGAGAAGTGTCAGGATTTCTCACTGTTTTCTCCAAGAGACACACATTCTGTAGCAGGGCACCTGTATGTCCTTCACCCTGGGCACTGGCAGCCTGGTGCCAGATAGCCAGTTCTCCTTCCATATTGATGCTGGTTAAATTTCCCTTTCAGAATGTTGTCAAACATACTCTGAGAACATCCCACCAGTGAAATGGCTTTGGCTTAGTTAAAACACCTACACCAGGATCCAGCGTGCTGGCTCAGTGCCCAAATCCTCACCTTGCATGCGCCAGGGTCCCCTATGGCTGCTGGTTCATATTTTGGCTGCTCCACTTCCAGTCCAGCTCCCTGCTTGTGGCCTAGAAAAGCAACACAGGATGGTCCAAAGCCTTGGGACCCTGCACCCATGTGGGAAACCCGGAGGAGGCTCCTGGCTCCTGATTGGCTCAGCTCTGGTCGTTGTGGCCACTTGGGGAGTGAACCAGTCAGGGGAAGATCTTTCTGTCTCTCCTCTTTGTAAATCTGCCTTTCCAATTAAAAAAACATATATATATATATATATATATATATATTTTTTAAAAGACACCTACACCAGACATTGGAGTATCTGATTTCAATTCCTGGTTTGGTTCCTGATCCAATGCTTTGGCCAAGACAGAATCTGGAAGGAATGGTGCATTGGTTCCTCTCCTCCACTTGGAGATCCAGATGAACTCCAGGCTCCTGGTTTTGGCCCAGTCCATTCCTACCTATGTGTGGAGTGGACTGGCACATGAGCACTCTTGCTTTCTACCTCTTGGAGTTAAATGGTAACACAGTCATGAATATACTATTAAAGATGGTATCTAATGAGGAGTATAGAGTTGAACAAAGCATCAGAAAACAAGAACCACATAGCAGCCAGATTCTCAATGGTGAGCCACAAAGCCAACTTTTTATTGACATACCACACACAGACAATCTGAGGGGCACAAGCAAATTTTCATGAACTGAACACACCCAGGACCTGGCAACCAGCTGGGGAAACAGAGCACCCAGAAGCTCATGTGTGCCCCCTGCTGGTTCCCACCCCAGAGTAACTACTACTTCTACTTGGTACGATGACCACCCGTTTGTGTCCATTCATTCTCACTGCTGTACAGAGCTTCATGACTGAATCACTAGAACGTGTTCATCAATTCAGCATGGATGGGCATTTGGGTGCTTTCTGGTTTTGGGTTATGATGAAGACTGCATCTGTCAACACTCTAATGCATTTATTCTGATTGGATAAACACCTACTAGTGGAAGAGGGAATTACAGGTGGTGTGATATTTACATCCAGTAAGTACTTTCATGGAAACAGGGAATGTGCTGGTTGGCGCTTGGTGGGTCAAAGAATTGACAGAAAATCTCAAAGGAGACTTTGGAAGATGGGAGTTGATCAACAACAACAAAAAATGCTACTGGTGTGGCAAACCGAGGGACAAGCACCCAAACGGAAGAGGAAAGGGAGAGGCAGGATACAGGGACAGAAAAATAAAATAAGACAAGGGAGATCTTGGAAAGACAAGCCCATTTTCTCTTGGCTTGGTTTTGGCACTCTCTGTGCTGTCCTGCCTCCTCAGCTTCTCTGATCTGTGCTTTCCTGGATTCCTGGCTGTATCAGGTGAATGAAGCTGACACTGGGCACGGAGTAAATGGATCCTGGGTGTGTTAGCATCAGGTCCTGCGCGCAATCTTGCTGCCATCGTAGCATACCACTTCCTACCATCATGGGTATTGCTGTACGCTTTAAGGAAACTAAGCCTGTGTCTTTCCAAAAGTACCAAGGAACAGAAACAGACTAAAACCACTTACAAGGGGAGTGGGTCCATAGGTGGGCTTCCCCATAGGCAGCTGGCTGCTGGTTCAGATCTGGGCACCTGGTACCTTGGTAGTGGAGCACCTGTCTATGGAGCACCTCTTCATCCCTTCTAGGAGAAAGGTGGGGGAGTAACTGCCTTGACTCCCCTAATCTACAGGTGCAGACATCTTAGGTGTACAATGGCTCATCCTAGATTGTACAGCAAGACACTGGGACAGCCTATGAGACAAGCAGTCTCCTAAGGTATGGGACAGAGCAGAGCTACACAGAGAGCTCTCTGCTCCCACGGTCTCTTGTCCTCTTTCATCAGGGTGCTGATGGTATGGTTCAGAAGGCATCGGTAGGTTCATCTCAGAAAACCCAAGACCCAACTCACTGCTGCGCAGCTTTCTCCAGGGCCCCCAGGCCACCTCCTCCTTGACCTGCCTGAACACACACTCTATAGGCCTCCTCCCCATGCAGGTGCAAGAACACATGTGTGCGAGGGGATGCGAGGGGCTGCAGCAAAGGTGGGTTTCACCATGTCCACCTTCTTGTAAACAGGCATGTATGGAAAGGAGCATGACCTGAGTGCTCAATGAAGGCTCTGTGGCTACAGTGCTTGCACCCAAAGTTTCCAGCTCACTATCTCTGAGCAGCCTCCCAACAGTACATGAAAATATGGCATCAAAACATCATTTATTGTGATGTCAAAGCATTTAAACTCACAGTCATAACATGCATTTCCATGCATTTCTGAAGATTCCTTGTATGAATTGATTTCCAATTTTTTTTGAAACAAAATAGTAACTTTAATTCCATTTTCCATGAAGTTCTACAAGCAACTCTACAAGTCTGAGCAGATTATGTAACCTCCCTACATTTCTGTTCTGGCTTGCCAGCACGACGCTGACTGTGGGAGGGTTAAATCCAACAGGGAGGTGCTGCTGCCCTCACTCACTTCCATGGGGCAGGACACCCCAAATGGCCCAGTGCTACAGCCAAAATAGGTCCTATGAATGTCATCCATGGGGTAAAATCGAGCAGGGGTTGGAAGAGAGGGGGCAGGGTAGGGGAGCCTTGGCAGGGCTTATGATCCCCGCAGGGATGACTGGAACATGTGTACTGCTGGCTGTGCAGAAACCAAGGGCACAGCATTGACCAACCCATAGGGACACTTGGGGAAGGACCACCTTCAGTGCCCAACAGGGAACAGGGCTAAGCGGACTGCCCACCAGCGTCCGGGCCATTTGGCTCTGGGAAGTTACACGTTCCCATCTGGCAGGCTACTTCCCTTCAGTGAGATTCAAACAAATGTGGGGTACAGAGAACTCCCAGAACCACCTGCTGCAGGGAGGGAAGCAGCAACTTCTGCAGTATGTTTCACAGGGGTTAAGGTGTTTCTATTGGCACTGTTATTACAGACGGGGGATACTTGGGTCCAGTTTCTCTTTTCAGTATATTTTCCACTGAAAATGTATTTACTGGTATATTTATCTTTATGAGAATGCAGGTCCACAGATTTGAAAACCTTGAAATCCATACTGATTATGTGTTACCTGGCTATAAAAACATGTCTATTTTCTTGGTGAATAAAGAAACTAACATACAAATGAGAAAAAGGTGACCTGGAACACCACGAAGAAAATCAATGAAAAAAGGAAAGACAGGAAGAGGCCTGGCAGGGTGGGTGTGGGTCGCATCCCCAAGGTAACAAGCATGCATGGTCTCCCACGGGGCAGTTTCACGGACAGGACAGCAGGCGTGGGCATCACCAGTTGGAGTCAGAGAATGATACAAAAGAACTTCTTCTCGCGGAAGGGGTTTTCGGATGCAGGCACTGGACTGATGAGAGGGTCTTCCCGGATGTGGGCTTCACAGTATGCCATGAGGTCCGCGGCCGCCTGTGAGACCTGTGGACACAGAGCACAGGTGCTCGGTCAAGGTCAGTTCACGAGATGGGCCGCTGCAGGTGTCCCGTGGACAGCAGCTCAGCTGCAGGTTGGGCTGTCCTGTGCATGACCAACTGTGGGCAGTGCCTGGGCAGGACAGGGTTCAAAGCATGGCTGCCAGGATAGAGAGGCATCCTAGGACCGCAAAGCCAGCAGTCAGGACTGCAGAGCCAGCAGCAGCCCAGGTGTTCTCTATGCAAACTTTCACTGTTACTTTTTTAAAAAAAAAAAAAAAAAAGAAACTTATTTTCATTGTTTTTGAAGGCAGACAGAGACACAAACGAAAAGCTGGTTCACTCCTCAAATGTCTTGTAAGAGCTGGGGCTGAGCCAGGCTAAAGCCTGGAGCTGGGAACTCAATCCAGGGCTCCCATGTGGATGGCAGGGATTCAACCATACTGGAGCTACGAGCTGTTGTTGCTTTTGGTGTGTTATCAGCGGGAAGTCAAGATTTAAACCAAAGCACCTGATAGGGGACGCAGTGTCCCAAACCACGTCTTCACTGCTGCACTAAATATCTGCTCTCAGTCCCCAGTTGAGTCTGTCTGAACCAGTTCTGGAAGAGTTTGAAGCAGGATGCTGGCCCCGCTCATCCCACCATGCCATCAGGATCACGCTGTTTATTTGTTGATTGCAATCCCCTTCCTGCTCCTCAACAGGACACACATCTCCCAGGGAGTGGCTGCTCCCTGGCTGCCCAGTTGTTTCCGATCAAAGGACAGACAGCTCTCTCCACTCCTTCTCCTTACAGTCTTGGCTGCATCTGTTGCCACAGTTGCCACGTGGCAGCTGTGCATCACACTGGCTCCAGCTCAATTTCACAGGGAGAGCTGAGTGGCAGAGGGCACTGGGCCAGGAAGTCAGCACTAAGTATGGGACAGACTTAGTTGCTCACTTGGCTTGCTGTCTGTCATGTGCTTGGCTAATGACCAAGCTGTGCATGAGCTCATCCTGCCAATTTGCTTGCTCTGCCCGCAAGTGCTTATTAGAGGCTCACACGGGAGGGGAAGCATCCAGAGTCAAACGGAATGTTCTGGATGCCTTTGGTGTCTAAGTCTTTTCCAGAACAACACAGACCAGGCTACAAATGAATGGCGAGAATGTTTCCGAGCCACACCAGCCACACACAACTCCCTTCTGGATTTTTGAGACTGGTTCAATTTCAAACACTTGACAGAGTCTTCCTCTGATTCCCACCCAGGTCCTTTTGTACATCCTCCAGTGTAGAATTAACTCCAGGAGAGACATATGAGAAGAGTGTATTTTTTTACGTTTAAATAAGTCAACTTGAAATTGAGAAGACCCAAGTCCTGGCCAAGCCTACACCTGTTAGGGTTATGCAACTGAGAAATTTCCAGCTCTGCCTGCACTCTTGGGGAAGTACCTCAACCTCTCTGAACTTTTTATCTCTCATTTGTAAATTCAGGAGACTTTGCTATTTCTCTTCTTTTTTCAGATATATTTATTTTTATTGGAAAGGCAGGTCAGATTTACAGAGAGGGAGACAGAGAAAAAGATCTTCTATTTGCTGGTTCACTCCCCAAATGGTGACAACAGCTGGGGCTTACATTGTGAGGATTAAATCACAGAGCCATTGTGCCCTGAGAGTTTGCTATTTCTAAAGTGATTTTTTACTCTAAAAAGCTTATGATCCTTCCTCCGCACCACCATGAGGGCTGGCACAGTGTGCAGCATGCTAACTCTCTACCCACAGCAGTAGAGCCCTTGAGGCACTAGTTGGTTTCCTGGCTGCTCTAGTTCCAATCCAGCTCCCTGATTATGGAAAAGCAAGAGAGGACGGCCCAAGTCCTTGGGACCCTGCACCCATGTGGGAGACCTGGAAGAGGCTCCTGGCTTCAGACTGGCTCAGCTATGGCTGGTGGCTGTTGTGGCCATTTAAGGATCTCTCTCTCTTTGTTCTGTAAATCTTGCTTTCAAATAAAACAAATATATTTTCTTTTTAAGATTTATTTATTTTTATTGGAAAGTCAAATACACAGAGAGGAGAGATAGAGAGGAAGATCTTCCATCCACTGATTCACTCCCCAAGTGACCACAATGACTGTAGCTGAGCCAAACTGAAGCTAGGGGCCTGGAACCTCCTCCAGGTCTCCCATGTGGATGCAGGGTCCCAAGGCCTTGGACCATCCTCAACTGTTTTCCTAGGCCACAATCAGGGAGCTGGATGGGAAGCAGAGCGCCCACATGGATCCTGGCGCATGCAAGGTGAGGATCCCAGCCGCTAGGCTACCACACTGGGCCCTAAATACACTTTTTTTTTTTTTAAAGAAAACAGCACCATTGGAAAGTATTTAAAACCCTACATAAAGTCTGTGGAGTTGAGTGGTGTGCCTGAAATTCACAGTGGTCGACAGGACATCCCCCAGGAATCTCCCTCGGAGGTGGAAGTGCAGACGAGGATCATGGCTGTAGGAGACCCATGAAACCATTGCAAGAGACTATCCATCAGGCGCAGGGCAGCTGACTTGGGCTGTGGCCCACTGCAGTACATGGCCCGGGTCCAGGAGACAGGCTTGTGTGCCCTAGCTGGCCAGCACCCTCCCTGCCTCACCACACCCTGAGAGGCAGAGGCTGTGGGGGCTCTCCCATGCAGCCACCCATGTGCCCCTCTGGTAGGACTGGGAATGGATCTCTGTGGTTGCCCAGCACACACGATGGGCTGCAGTGCACAGACCCTATTCCCCCACCTGAAGGCCCCTGCCCTCCTGGATCTGCCAGGTCTCAGCTTTGACTTTAGGGAGCTCTTCCAGGTCATTCTTTCCCAATGTCCCTCTGGGTTCTCTTGTCTCCGTGAACCTATTTTCTGCTTTAAGATATGCTCTGTTGATTCTGAGTTCTCTATTAGCCTCACTGTTTCATTCAGGAGAGGATGCAGGGAAAAAACAGGCAGGATCTTCACCCTCTGGAGTACCTCACTGGTTAAATCCTCACCTTGCAAGCGTTGGGATCACATGTGGGTGCCTGTTCAAGTTCTGCTCTCATAGGGACGGGTTTACAGTCTTCTGGATTGTGAGTGTGAAGTTTTGCCTGCCTACCTGTGTGACACATCAGGAGGCCAGCACGAGCACCAATTTAAAGCCAGATATGTGCATCTGGGCTAGTTCTTGCAGTGTCAATTTTCCAAATACACTCACTGCTATTAAGATAAGACTGCCACAGGATGAATGTTTCTTCCAAAACTCACACTGAAACCGATGGCCAGCGTCGCTGCAATGAGAGGCAATGTTGGCAGAGGGGTGTTGGCATCAGGAAAGCGCCACCCTCCGGTGGGAACTCAGGGTGGAAGAGGGTTGGTCATTATCGGTTCCCGATAAAATCCTGAGTTTGGCCCAATCTGTCTGCTTTCTCCGGGATGCTCTGCCCTTTGGCCATGTTACAACAGAGCACAGAAGCTGGCACTAAGTACTTGCAGCTCTCAGCCTCTGGGACTGCGAGAGAGTCATGCAGTCTGCTGTTACAGCAGCAGGAAACGGACTATAACAGCCACCTGTAAAGGGTGTTCACCTGGACAACAGCTATTTATAATAGGGCAGTCATCTTACAATGAAGGCACAAAGGGAATTTTCCACTTTCATAAGCTGCCTCCCCCTTTATAAAAAAAAAAAGCTTATTTATTTGCAAGGTTATAGAGTTACAGAGAGAAACTGAGACATATATATAGAGAGAGTGAGAGAGAGAGTAATTTGCTGGTTCACTCCCCAAATGGCTGCAACAACTAGAACTAGGCTGGTCTGAAGCCAGAAGCCAGAGCTTTACCCAGGACTCCTACACGGGTGGGGGCCTAAAGACAGGGGTCATCCTCTGCTGCTTTTCCAGGTCATAAGTTAGTAGTTGGATCAGAAGTGGAGCAGCTGGGACTCAAACCAGCACCCATATGAGATGCTGGCATTACAGGTGGCGGCTTAAACTGTTATGCCACAATGCCAGCTTCCAGTAGCTCCCTTATTTTACACAGTGTCCAACAACCCTTTGTTCTTTTATCACTGAAGTATGGTGAATTCTTAAAGTGATCAGAGAAGATCAGTGCAGCTGATGTCTTTCTTGAAGCCTTACATGTGCAAGGCAATGTCGTCAGCGTCCAGGCTAATGCCTAAACCTGCTGCTCAGGTTAAATGGGAGGACTTTCGTCATCGGCTCAGATTAGACTGTTTATTGGTGGACATTTCCTACTATACAACAGCAGCTGTGAACACTGCAGGTTCCCATAAAACACTGGCCATCATAAAAGAAGGAATTGGCACTGTGCCGTAGTGGGCAAAGCCATCACTTTCAAGGCATGCATCCCGTATGGGCACTGATTTGAGTCTCAGCTGCTCCACTTCTGATCCTCTTCCAACCCAGCCCCCCGCCTGGAAAAGCAACAGGAGATGGCCCAAGTATTTGGGCCCTTACTCCCATGTGGGAGATCCTCAAGAAGGGCCTTCTTCTGCTTTGGCCTAGTCTGATCCCAGCCATCACAACTATTTGAGGAGAATCAGCACATAGAAGATCTCTCTGTCTCTCCCTTTCTGTAGCTCTGCCTATAAAATAAGTAAAATAAGTATTTTTTTAAAAAAAGAAACATAAAACAAACAATTTGCATAGAGGAAATTGCATTCTGGTAAAAAAAACACAACAAAACAAACAAACAAAAAACCAATTGAAAACTCCCTTACTGTGAGTGCTTCCTTGTCAAGCCTGCTGTTGGCCTGAGTTCAAGTCCCCCTGTGCGAAGCATCTCCTCCCTGCCTTCCCCTTGGTACTGAATTGTTAGAGTTAACAAGATAACAGATGCTAAAAGCAATCTGCAGCCTGGGAACAACTGTGGAATTTCACCATTATGTTTCTGACTGAAAGAGGTGATTAAAACAGCCCAAGTTAGCACATAATCCTGTTAGTTGCACTCTAATTACAAGCTTCAATGATAGGAAAAAATGCTGCAATTGTTATAGTCACACCCAA